AAAAAAAACAACGACTAATTTTAAAGTAAATGTTCTTTTCCACGTAGACCTGAGTTGTAATTGATGTTCCGGTTTTGCTGGAACGTTTATTTCTGTCACCGCTTGTTAACGTCCAGTCTTTTAAAAAAAGGTCTGGGTGCGTCACTGGTGATAAATTTGTGTTGTATCTGTTCCGCAAAACGTGTTATTACCGACACCATCATCGTCTAAAACATGTAAACTTCATCCCTAGACCAAAACAGAAGCTTGACAGTATATTTTCGCAAACTACACGTATAACCAACAACAGGGATCAAGGTACACATCACTTTTCCATGTAATCTCCAAACCTGGTTAAGCTTGTTTTCCGCCTTGAAACTCGTCTAATACAGTGTAGTGGAAAAGTCGAGTCTTTTTCACGGACCTGGAGCCCACAGGGACCTATATTCTGTGCTTTGCCACCTCAGGGCCATGTGGAAAGTCTGATACCCCCCTCTCCTGACGCAGTTGTAGTTGGTAGTTTGTGGCTCAGTGTTATTGTCCTGGACGATGTCACCAAGGTGCAGCAACATACACAGCTCTGATCGTGACCTTTGGCACATTCTGTATGGAGTTTGCATGTTCGCCATGCGTTTCTCTGCCTGCTCCAGTTTCAAAGGTATGCTGACAAGGTTCATTGGCATCTCAAACACTATGGTGTGCGAGTGCTTGCCCTGAGATGGAGTGTTGTTCCATCAAGGATGCAGTCAGTCCCTGTACACTTCTTCAGGGATCAAGTCTAGATTGTACAGAGCTTTGCAATGAATAAGTAGCTTTCTAGTAATGGATATAGGAGAAGAAATACAGAATTATGATATAAAGACCTTGGTAAATTCAGGTTTGTTTCTTCATATTTCAGATGATGTGTACAATGTGAGTGCATTTCAGAGCAGTTTTCGGGGTTGGGCAGTGTCAGGCATGCTGAAGACATGACCATTGTCACCACAGTCAGGATCTGGGTTGTTTATTGTCTGTATATACACGTTTTATTTTTTTAATTTCTCAGTTCTGCCAGGCTGCTCCGGGGTGAATGTCGAAGAGCTTTCAATGGACAGCACTCTCTCTGTCCGTGTTACTGCAGCAGCCTTGTGGTCTGTGATGAAGAACAGAGACACTCTACATTATGACAGGATAATAGGCTTCCTGGATTTGATCTACCAGCAAATTCCACACCTGGTTCACTTCAGGCATTACATCAAAATTTCCATCGGACTGAAAGCCAAGGTAGGTTAGCCCATTGAGTTGAAGGCACGGTGCCGCACAGAGACAGCAGAGTGGAGTTGGATTTATTACAGCCCCAGGAGTCCATCGCCCCCCCTGTACGTTGTGTAAAGAGTGATCTCAGACACACCGTGTTTACAAACAAAGTGTTAGAACGCTGTATACAAAGCTCACAAAGATGTTGTTGCAAATGTTTTTGTTAGTTAGGTTTGCAGAACTTTAATACTTGTGCATTTACCAGCATGATAATATATAAATAATTGGAGATTCTTGCAGAAGAAATTCAATGAGATGGAACTAGTATAAACCGGCCAAAATAACAGATTCCCTCTGCAAGACCACCTTAAGTCCTCCATGAACTCTGTTTTTGCCCAGAGCATTCCAAGTGCTGTTGCTTAGCAACCTAGAGAGTGGCCTGGCTGTGCTTCAATCCTTCAGTCCTTATCTCCCAGCAGACCATGAGGAGTCTCACTCACTGAGCTGCCAGTCTTTTACTCCAAGCCTTGCAAACCTTCAGAGGCAGTCTGGGTTAGAACTCCAGTCAGACTGCATGTCTTATGTGAAATCAGAAAATACGTGACGGATAAGTCAAAACCAACCTGTCGAGCCTTGAGGGTGAGAGTTGTAGTTGGACCAAAACTGATTTGCAAGAAGAGTTGTTGCAGAACCTTCCTGTTGGTTACAGATGCTTTTCAATGAGGCCCCTGCCATGATCGGTCACAGTAATGATCAGATGCACACACAGAGGCCTTTGGCTCAGGATGTGCTAAATAATACTAAAGCAAGCCCTGTTTCCTGCAGAATTTAAGAAATTCTTTTGACATTTAAAAGATGGATTTATGGCTGGAGGAAGGATTATTTGTGTTAATAGTTGCTTTATCATTTGTTTCATCTTTCCATGTCACGTGTCTTCCTTCTCTGTTTCCTTTCAAAGATTGTGCTGCATATGTTTGAGAGCAATCAGCCTCTCCTGAAGATCTTGAAAAAACTGAACGAGTATTTCCCTGTCAATGGAGCTCAGCAGTATAAATCTGTGAGTATGTTCACCGCAGCCCTCTGTCCCCACCAGGACTTTCCACCCATTGGCAGTGGTTAGATTGGTTTTAGATGTTTGAACAAGAAGAGTTTGACAAGGACATTTGAGAGCAGCGGTGATTACCTTTGGGATATCTCAGTGCAAACTCTGATCTAGAAAGGTTTTTTGTTTCAGTGAGCCTCAGGTTAGGGACAGCTTTCCCATTAAATTAGAAATCCAGAAACATCAATGTCACACGATTTCCATAGCTTTAATTAGGCTCTTAACAATGCCTTATTCATGTCTTCACTTTTTTTGTAGATCAATATTGCAGTTGCAGATAGTATTGTGTTCATCCATTTCTCCACATAACATTTAAAATACATAGTTTAGCTGAATCCCAAACTATATTCAAAACTCAGTAGTTCTCTTTATATCACAACTACAACAC